GGAGGGGGGAGGGCGCTGCGGCAACACCTGGTCCCCTCCCCTGGGCCACCCTCTCTGCAGGGCCCCGCCCCGCCCCGCCCCGTCCTACCCTCTGGTCTTCCATCGCTGCAGCCCAGGTCCCCCCGGCCCGGACCGTGGGTCCAGCTCACTCTTCGAGTCCCCAAGCTGCCTTTGACGCTGCCGGTAGCCAATGGCCCGCCGAGCCCCAGTCGTCGCCGCGCCCCCGCTTAGCGCCCCATCACTGCCCGCAGTGCGCAAGCGCGCCCACCGCGGCGCGCTGGGAAATGTAGTTCTCGGCTGTGGTCGCCCGGAGCCGGGACCTCCCGCGCCCGGGGCTCGCCAGGCCCCACTGGGAGTGACGTCTGAGCTGGAGAGGGCCCCGGGCTAGAAGACAAGGGGCTCGACCCCCGACACTTCGTGTGACCTCGACATCATCTCTAGCCCTCCTGTGCCTCAGTCTCCCCACCTGTTCACCCACACACCTTATCTGTTGCTAAGTGGTCTAGCCCTCCTTCACACGCCTTGCATTAACCGAAAAGCTAAGGTCTTTGCCCAGAAAGCCTCCTTTCCGTCTTCACGTCACAACCGAACTCCTATACATCCCACAAAGCCTCAATCTCTAACACCTCCTCCAGAAGCCTCCCTGCCAGCCCAGAATCCACAGGGCTAAGAATGTCTGCGTCCAGCTCTGTCTCCCTCACCAGCCCGGAAGGGCCTGGGGCTGAATCGAGCTTCAGAAAGTCTTCAGGGGCACAGAGTGGGGCTAGGTGCAGGCAGGGACGGCGCCACTACAGGGGCCTCGCTGTGGTTGGGAGGATGACTCGAAGATGTTGGCTTCTCAGCTCCGAGTGAGAAGGAGGTCACTCTGTGGTTGGGTGTGAGACACTGAGGTCTCTGAGTCTACCACGTCCTCTGGAGGGTGGGGCATACCAACTGGGGGAGGTGAGGGGGTGCAAGGCTGGGAGGAGCCCCAGAGCCTAGGAAACCCCTCAACTGGGGGCCCCCAAGCTTCTCCCCAGGCCCAGGGGACAGGAGAACGCCCCACACCTACGGTAAGACTCAAAGTCATCAGAAATCCACTCTTCTGAGCCCCAAGGCGAGACATTTTGGGGGCAAACTGATCAAGGCCGGGATCTGTCCATTTAATCCACCCCCCTCCCCACTCAGGCCTCTGTCGCCGGCCTCTCGCCCACCCTGGGCCACCTGCTTGTCCATTCTGTCACCCCCCCATTCATAGACATGTTTATGAAGAGCCATCCAGAAAGATTTACACTCACTGGGACACATCCCCCCTCCCCACCACCACTCCCATATGCACACTGCCTTTCAGATCGAAACGCTTTGGGGAAACTGAGGCACGAGGTGGCAGGAAGTGGAGCCCCAAGCAGCCTGGAAGGCCAGATGTGTGCCGTCTGGCCCTGGGTGGTGGTGTCACATCTGCCTCTGCAGTGGGGGGCGGAGATTGTGGCAGGAAGTCTGTCGAGTGGAAGGGGGTGGGGGAGGATGGGCTTCATTCAGCTGGGACAGGGGGTCCGGTGGGCCAGGGATGGGGTCCCTGGGCACAGCACTGCTCCTCCTGCTGCAGCTCTGGGGTGAGTACTTGGGCCTCCCTCCCCTCCGCACGCCCCTCCTGTTGTCGCTCCTGCTGCCTGGTCCCCTCTAAATTTCACTCTCTCCGCTCTGCCAAACAGGGTCCATCTCCCTGTGACATTCGGAACCTTATGGGGTGGGAGGATTCAGGAAGGGGCCTCTGCTCTGCCTCCCATTCCCTCCCTCCACCTTGCTCCCGCCAGCTGCCTTTTCTTTCTTCTTCTTCTCTTACTGTATTTTTCACTTTTTGAGAGACCAGGTCTCCTCTGTGGCCCAGGCTGGAGTGCAGTGGCGCGATCATAGGTCACTCATTCCTGGGCTCAGGCCATCCTCTGGCCTCAGCCTCATCCCAGTAGCTGGGACTACAGGTGCCACCACGCCCTGCTATATTTTTTTTTTGTAAGGGTCTCACTATGTTACCCAGGCTGGCCTCAAACTCCTGGCCTCAAGCGATCCTCCCGCCTCAGCCTCCCAAAGCGCTGGGATTACAGGCGTGAGCCACCGCGCCCCACCGTGGTTTTCTCTCTCTATTTCCCCAACACAGCAGGCGTCACCCAAGCTCCAGGCCTTTGCACTTGCTGTTCCGGCTGCCTGGTACCCTTTCCCGGATGCCATCTCCCCAGCCTCTCTGCAGTGGCCTCGCAAATGCCAGGCAGTTGACAGGGACCTCACCTTCTGGGGGAGCTAACAGGCAGCTCGGACTCACCATGGCCAAAAGTGAGCTTTTTCCTGCTACTCCAGCGGGTCCTCCCTCAGCGTGTGGCGTCTTGGCCCAAGGCCACCACTGTTCACCCATCCTCAGGTGCAAACCTGGGGATACTCCACCATTTCTCTTTCCCTGTCCCCCAGTTCCAGCCACTTGCACTTCTCTGGGGGCAAACTTCGAAATCTGTGGAGACTGTGACCACCGCTCTCCCAGTCCCAGCCCCATCCCCGCAGCCTGGACAGCCCGGCTTCCCCCTCCCTGGCCTCCCAGCGCCTGGTCCTGAACCTCCGCCTCCGTAGGGCGTGTTCGCCATGGCAGCCAGGCGGATCGTTGTGTTAAAACTTAAATTGGACTGTGTTCCTGCACGGTCCCCCTTAGTTTCACATCACGCTTAGATTACAAGGTAAGCTGCCTGCATATCCCCACCCCCACCCCACCCCCGCAGCCCACAAAGCTCTTCACAACCTGCCTTGTCACCTCCCTGCCCTCCCCGCCTCCCTTTCACCCCCTTGCTCACTCTGCTCCAGCTACACGGGCCTCCAATACACCATGCACAGTCCTGCCCCAGGGCCTTTGCACCAGCTGTTCCCTAAACCTGAAACACTCTTCCTCCGTACCTTCCCTCCCACACTGGTTACCTCTTACCATTCAGGTCCCTGCTGAAACATTACCACCTGAGAGAGGCCTTCCCTAACCACCCTCCATAAGTATTAATAGATTCTCCCTCATCTCTCTTTTCCTTTTTTTTTTTTTTTTTTTTGAGACAGAGTCTCGCTCTGTTGACCAGGCTGGAGGGAGGTGGCGCGATCACAGCTCACCACAGCCTTGAACTCCTGGGCTCAAGCGATCCTCCTGCCTCAGCCTCCCGAGTAGCTGGGACTACAGGTGCACCCAGCCAAGGGCAGGGATTTTTGTCTGTTTTGGCCACCACTGTGTTTGTGTCCACTGAACTCAGCATAGGGCGTGGCACACACTAGGTGACATTTGTGTTGCTGAGAGCTGGAGTCCGTCTCAAAATTGCACAAGAGCTGAGCTAGTTATACCCATTTTACAGATGGGCTTGTTGAGCCTCAGCGAGAAGTGACCTTCTAAAGGTCATGCAGACGGTGCAGTCTCAAACTCTTACTGTAGGCTCAGTAGGGGGTGAGTTACACACACGCACACACACACATGTACACACATGCACACACTAAGAAAGGTTTCATCCACCTCTTCTCTCTCCCAGCCCTGCAAGGAGCCGCAAGCCTGCACGTGCACCAGGAGCCCAAGTTGCTGCGGGTTCAGCAGGGCACTCAGGTGACCCTGGCCTGCCAAGTGGCACAGGCTCAGGCCTGGGAACAACTCCGGGTTGGGTGGACAAAGGACGGTGACATCTTGTGTGAGCCATACATCACCAATGACAGCCTAAGCCTGGAGGTCTGCGGGCCCCGGGGCCAGCTCTCCTGGCACGCACCTGGCGTTCTTACCCTGTGGCTGGACCATGTGACCCTCAGTGACAGTGGGGACTACGTGTGCTGGGCAGTCATGGAGATTCCTGAGTTGGACCGGGCCAATGGCAACGGGACGCGGCTTCTAGTGGATGCAGGTATGACAGCCCACAGAGAGAGAGGGAGGTGGAGTGGGGAAGATTCGAGAATCTTAAGACTCTTGACTCTCTTAGCCAGGCGTGGTGGCGCATGCCTGTAGTCCCAGCTACTCTGGAGGCTGAGGCAGGAGGATCGCTTGAGCCCAGGGGTTGGAGGCTGCAATGAACTATGATGACGCCACTGCACTCCAGCTGGGTGACAGAGCGAGACTCTGTCTCAAAAAACAACAAAAAAAGACTTGAATCTTAAACTCCTAGAAACATAAAACTCTAAATTCTTCACATCAGACTCTTAGGAACAGAAATCCTGCTAAGTTGAGAACATTAAAGTCTGGAATCACAGAACCTGGTCTAGAACTTAGCATTCTAGCCTGGAGCTTGGCAAACATTCTGGAAAGGGCCTCGCAGTGGATATTTTCTGCTTTGTGGAGCACATGGTCTCTGCTGCTATTACTCCACTGTGGCAAGAAAGCAGCCATAGGCAATATGTCAGTGAATTCTGGTGGCTGGTTTCCAATAAAACTTTATTTAAAAACACAGGCAGTGGGCCGAATTTGGCTCATGGGCTCTAGTTTGCTGAGCTCTGTTCCAAAAATATCGCCATCATAAGTACTCTTGAGAACATATAATTCTGGAGGTGTTTTTTTTTTTTTTTCCGAGACAGGGTCCCACTCTGTCACCTGTGCAGTGGCATCATCATAGCTCACTGCAGCCTCCAACTCCTGGGCTCAAGTGATCCTCCTGCCTCAGCCTCCCGAGTAGTTGGGACCACAGGCGTGTGCCACCACATCCGGCTAATTTTTCTATTTTTAGTAGAGATGGGGTCTCGCTCTTGCTCAGGCTGGTTTCGAACTCCTGACTTCAAGTGATCCTCCCACCTCAGCCTCCCAGAGTGCTGGGATTACAGGCGAGAGCCACCGCGCCCGGCCTAATTTTGGAGTTTTGATCAAAACAATTCCAGAATCTTTTTATTATTGAAGCATGTCTTGCGTACAGATGAATGCATATATTGCGTCCAGCTAGGTAGATTTGTGCAACCTGAACACACCCCGCGACCCCCTCCCAGCTCAAGAACATCAATATTTCCAGCCCCCCAAAGATCCCGCTTGAGCCCCCCTCACAGCTGCTCCCCTCCTCCTCCGCTGTCCTGAATTCTACCAGCATAGACCTGTTTGGCCTGGTTGCATATTTCATTTAAAGGGAGTCACTGACAGCGGGGACTGTGCGTGCTGGGCAGGCACGGGGATCCCCTGTTGTGTCCGGCTTGGTGTCTGGGAGATTCATTTATGTGGCTGCACGGAGCAGTGGTTCATTCTTTTTCCTTGCTGTAGAATATTCCAGCACGTGCCCCTACCGCCATGGTCAATCCCAATGTCCTGTTGGTGGGCATTTGGGCGGCTGCCACACACATTCCAGGGCTTGTCTTTTCATGAACATATGTGTACTTTTCCATTGTACCTGGGACGATTCTAGAATCTCGAACCACAAAATACAACCTTGCAGTTCTAGCATCATAAGAACAGAAAATTCTAGGCTCTTAGAATTAAAGCATGTCTTGTCCCTAAGGAGGTGAATATTGGTTCTTGGGAGGCAAAAAAAAAGCCAAAACAAAACCAAACCTTACTCTCTTTATGTATAAAGCTTAGATACACATATCGAACATAAGCAGATTTACAATATTTCTATGGTATTAAAATTTCATGGGGGAACAGATTAAGATTTCAAAAACATCTAAAAAGTCTCCCTGGGGACAGATAATGAAAAGAAGGTTGAGAAATACTGAAATAAAGGAACAGACAATCCTAGAACCTTAGAATTGCGGTGTCTTAAATACTTTATATAGACGTTTAGAATTTTGCAATCTCAGAATGTATAAGGGCAGGGAATTCTAGAATTCTAGAATCCAGAATTGAAAGCCAGCCACTCTTAGGTTGGGCACAGTGGTTCACACCTGTAATTCCAGCATTTCAGGAGGCCGAGGTGGGAGAATCGCTTGAGGCCAGGAGTTCAAGACCAGCCTAGGCAACACAGTGAGACCCCATCTCTACAAAAAATTAGCTGGGCATGGTGGCACACACCTGTGGTCCCAGCTACTCAGGAGGCTGAGGCAGGAGGATCGCTTGAGCCCAGGGGTTGGAGGCTGCAGTGAGCTATGATTGCATCACTGCACTCCAGCCTGGGTGACAGAGCAGGGAAACCTGGTCTCTAAGGAAAAAAACAAGAAAGAAAGAAAGCCATCCACTCTCAAAGCCAGAAGGAACTTTCCAGGTCAGCAAAGCTGGCCGTCTCATTTTACAGATGAGAAAGCTGAGGCCGGGAGGGGGCCGAGATGTGTCCCGTGCAGTACACAAGGCAGAGATGCAGCCCGTTCCTCTAGAGCCCGGCTCACGCGCTCCTGCCACTCTACCATGACACCCCTTATGGGCCAAACCCGTGCAGGTGTGGGGGACCAAGCTGCCCCAGGCTGAGGACCCTGCCCATAGGTGGTTCCTGCTGGCCTGGGGCACGTGCTCAGCCTCCATCTGGCAGAACAGAGCACCTGGATCCCAGCCCCAAGAGGCACCCACACTCCTCTCCAGCGGGCAGGACCCGGCCGTGGCTGCCTGCCTCAAGGGCGGTGTGTTATGACTGTTCTCCCGCCCCCGCACCCCTCCAATGTCAAGGGGGCCAATTAGCAATTAGCAGAGGCGGGGGAGCAGAGACACCAGGCTGTGCGTTGGCAGCTGCTAGGGATAAGGGAGCTGGCGCCCGTCCAGCTCTGCACAGCTGGCCTCCCTGCCCCCCACCCCCACCCCCGGAACAGCAGCCAGGCAGCCTCCAGGGACCCCCTGCCAACCCCAGCAGCTGCAAGATGAAGGCGTCGTGGGTGCTGGACCTTATTTTAGTCACAGCATTCAGAGCCTTTGGCTAGGGTTCATGTAAGTTACACAGACCGGAATTCAAGCCTCCTTGTCATTTACTTGCTGTGTGACCTTGGACAAATAATTTGACCTCTCTGTGCCTGTTGGCTCAGCTGCGAAAATACAGCTAATAGTGCTTTTCTTGCCAGGTTGGGTGGATTTAGAGTGGTTATGGCTAAAGTGCTTAGTATAGGGCCTGGGACATAGTAAGTGCTCAATAAACACGAGTGGCTCTTTCATATCTGTGATGCCAATTATTCAGCAAGACACAAATGTTCAGGCTGGTGGAAGCATGCTTTTTTCTGAAACAGGGAAGGAGGGGGGAGCTCCCTGCTGCCTCCTGGGGTGTGGGACCCCAGACAAATGAGTTAGATGACAGTCTGAGCCTCAGTTTCCCCATATGAAAAATAGGCTTGGCATAGAGTAGAGGGTTGAAAAACAGGAGGCATGGCCAAGTGTGGTGGCTCACGCCTGTAATCCCAGCATTCTGGAAGGCTTAGGCGGGAGGATCTGTTGAGGCCAGAAGTTCAAGACCAACTTGGGCAACATAGTGAGACTCCTGTCTCTACCAAAAAAAAAAAAAAAAAAGCAAGAAAAAGAAAAAGAAAGAAAAGAAAAGAAATAGCCAGGAGTGGTGGCGCGTACCTGTGGTCCCAGCTACTTGGGAAGATCGCTTGAGCCCAGTTAGTTCAAGGTTGCAGTGAGCTATGATGACACCACTACACTCCAGCCTGGGCGACAGCGTGAGACCCAGTCTCTAAACACCCAAACCATAAAATATCCATTGGCAGTTATTACACAGTAACCCAAAAAGATAGAAATGGCGAGCCTCATTTTTCGGAAGAGGAAACCGGGGTTCAGAGTGAGCACCTGCCTGAAGGCACACAGCCAAGCAGAACAGGAACACTGAGGTCCCACACGGGGTGAGAGGGAGCTCTGACCTCGGAGGGTGCAGGAGGCAGGACCCGAAGGTGGGGACACCCTCCCGCGACATAGATTTCTTCTCTGCAGACCCCACGCCGAACACGAACCTGAGCTCCAGCTTCCCAGGTGAGCCCCACTCGCGTGTCCCTCCCCCAGAGCCCCCCCACCCTGTGCGCCCCTCCCGCTCACACCGCCTTGTCCCCCACCCCACCCCAGGACTGCTCTATGTGCTGCCGATGGTTGGGGCCATGGCCGCGATCACGCTGGGCGCTGGGATCTGGGGCTGCCACCGCCGCCGCCAGCGACGGGGAAGGGACGCAGGTGACCGCCCAGGTAAGCGCGCGGCGGGCGGACGGGTTGCCCGCGGGCGACCTCGCGTGGCGGACGCGGGAACTGCAGCTGCTTGCCAAGGACCGACCACATTGGCCCCGCACCCCACACCCCCCATCCGGTCTTGGGAAGGACGGAAGGTGGGCTCCGCGGCGATGGCGAAGCCTGGCCCCCACACTCGTGTTTTCCAGAAATAGAAGTGGGCCGGAGAGCGCCAGGCTCTCTCAAGTGACTGTCCCCCACTGCCCCCTAGGAAATCCACTGTACAGCAACGTCCTGTTCCGGCCCCGCGGCGCCCCAAAGAAGAATGAGGCTGGGCCTGGAGAGAGGAAGGTGCCGGCCACCCCCGGGAAGGACCAGAAAGGCCAGAGCGTCTATTCAACCTCTTTTCCCCAGCCTGTCCCCCACTACCCGAGTCCAGCCCCCAAACCTTGCCCCAGCCCGGAGTCCAGTCACTACGTCCCCATGGCCAGGGTCTCTCCCGGCCCAGGCCCCGCTGGGCAGCCAAGGCCAAGAGGGTTCCCTGAAGTGGGGCAGGAGTCAGAGACCCCGGGGAACACAAAGAAGACCCCACCGCCGGTGACTACGTGATGGTATGACTGCTCCGAGGGAGGGGGACACACAGCCCTGTCCTGAGACCCCTCTCCTGATTTCTATGACGATACATCCCCCTTCCCTGAACACCCAATAAAGACCCGTGAGGAAGGCAAAGCTGGAGTGTGTGGCAATTTGGGGGTACGAAGAGATGTGAGGGGTCATCTGGGAATCCCAGAGCCCACTGGAGAGGCCCCTGGGATGAGGGGGCTCTGGGGGCTCACCAGCTCCCCCCCATACCTGTGGGGGCCTCCAAGCAACGCCCAGGCTGGAAGCCCCCTCCCCAGCCAGCCTCTCCCCCCAACCCTGGGCAGGCCTGGAGGTGGGGGGGCAGTGAGGAAGTCAGGGGTCCCGTGGTGTTTCCCAGCCCCCCAGGGTCTCCTGCCCGACTGTCACCTTCAAGTGACACCAGCTGGGCCAGCCTCCCCTCCCCCACTTCTGCTGTTTCCATGGGGACAGATGTCCTTTCTGCAGATCAAACCACACTGCCAGTGAGGAGGGGGTGGGGCTGGCCTGAGCGCCTCGTCTCCCCCCCCCCCCCCTTTCTCCATCTTTGCGTCTGAGGGTGTCTTTTGTCGCGTCTGCTGTCCGCGGGTCTTTAGCTGCCTCCTAGCTCCGTCTCCAGCTCTGCCTGTGTGAGATTCCGGCTCCAGCCTCCATCCCCGACACAAAGAGCTGGGGTCACCTCTGCCCCTCCAAGGGTCTCACTCGCCCCCTCATACCTCTGATGGGGCCCCCGTCAGTGCCCCCACCGGACACCCACAGTGACCATTCCACAGACGGGGACACACACCTGTGGCTCTCTTGCCAAGAGCCCGGGATCTCTGCCTCGCTGCAGCCCAAAAAGGACACTTGGAACAGACAATAACTTATTTATTTTCAGGCCAGAAGAGACACAATCTTGGGCCCTAGAGCCCAGAAGGGGGCAGAGGGTCCCCGTCAGGGGGTCTGCGTGACGACTGGGTAGAGCAGGGCCAGGTGCTCGGCGCCCTGCACGGGCAGCGGGCGCGAGCTGTAATGCAGGACCAGCTCGGGGACACTGGCGAAGGGCCCGCTGTGCTGGCCCAGCACCACCTGGTTCTCCCGGGTCCGCGCGAACTTCAGATGCAGGAAGCCCTGGCTGCTCCTGGGGGCAGAGGTCAAAGGGAGCCTTGAGCACCCCAGACCCACCCGCGCTGTCCACCCCCCACGGTGCCCGGGGCCGGGCACGGGCATCCCTGACATCTCTGCTAAGTGGCGCTTGGTGCCAAGCTGTTGGCTCCCAGACCGCCCCAGGAAGGCAGGCTGGGGTGGAGGTTCCTCTCCTGCAACGGGATGGCAGACACAGTGCCCGCCTCTCCGCAGATGTGGGAGGATCAGGTGCCACCTCTCTGTCCCTGCCTTTGTATGTTTTTCTGCCCCCTCTAAAGCCTAGTTCTTAGTCGTTGCCATGGGGTGCAGCAGAATCGGCCCCGAATCCTGGTGCAATCAGGAGGGGACCCCAGAGGGGACACCATTGCATGGCACTTTCCACCCCTGTGCACTCTTTCGCTTGATTTGCTCACAGCTCAGCTGGTGTGTCACCTCCTCAGAGATGTCTCCCTTGACTGCTACTCACACTGAGTCCCACTGCCTCCTCGGGGTCTGACCCTGTGTCTCTGTCTGAGATCATCTCTCTCTGGCATGGCCAGAGCACCACGAATATGGCCTGGAACACAGTAGGTGCTCAATTAATGTTTATTCAATGAAGGGACAGACCATAATGGCCAGGAACCTATCAGCACCCCCAGACTTGCCCTACTTTCTCCACAAACTTTCTGATCCCTTGTACCACCCCTCCCAGTCCCCCACTAGTCAACCCCTTTCTATTCAGGTGGATAGAATGACCTAGAACCTGGGAATCATTTTAGCATGAATATTAACATTAATTAAGCACCTCCTGTTTCCCAGGCACTATTCTCAACATTTTATTTTCACCTATTCTTGTCATCTAATCATTGCAGTACCAACAAAAAGTGGATGCTATTATTACCCTCGTTTTACAGATAAGGAAATCGAGGCCCAGAGAGGTTGAGTAACTTAGCTAAGGCCACACAGCTAGAAAGGGATGGAGTTAGGATTTGGGCCTGCCCCCAAAGCCCATACAGGGTCTCAAACTCAAATGCTTATAGGGCCACTAGCCACCCAGATTCTAGCTTCAGACAGACACAAACGGATATTCTTCAACGTTTGCACCAGGGAAGACCAAAAGAACCTTGTACACCTAGTTCCCCATCTTACCCAAGTCCTGGATCTCCTGTATGGCGTCCACTCCATCTTCTTGTATGTCTCTGATGACGTGGAGCTCATTCCCAGTGGCCTCCCTGGAAGCCCCGCCCCTGGTCTTAGAAGCCCCACCCACTGCCCTAAAACCCTGCCCGCTGGCTGCTGGAGCCACACCCCTTTGCTCCCACTGAATTAACCCAAAAGGGTGACACATGCAATCGTGTGCCCCTCTGTCCCTGTGACGCTGGGGTCTCACCTGAGGGACAGGGAGCAGTCCTGGGGGCTGGTCTCACTGAGCCGCACAAGGTAGCTGCCTTCCTTGCAGAGCGCTAGAAGGTTCTCAGCATCTGCCCGGTTCAGTGGGCCATGAAACCACCTAGGGGGTGGGTGGGGGCAGATGTCTCAGGAAGGGCCATTCCCCTTCAAACACACTCCGGGGTCGTTCGGGTCCATGCACAACCAGACACACAAGAGCAAGAGCTTGTGACGTCCAGGCCAACAAGCCAGGAAAATTCCCTTGGCTTTTCCAGGAGGAGCCTGGTTATTGGGCAGACATGGTTGTCCTTGGGGGGTAGCTGAGCCCAGGTCAAAGGGCGAGCTGCTACCTCCAATTGAGCAGGTACACCTGACCTTGATGTTTACAGCCTACCTGGCTGGGTCCCCAGGTGTCATCAGCACCCCTCCTTCCTCCCCAACTCCAATCACGTTCATGAGTTATGCTACAGCCTGTCTTCCCACCCACCTGTACCATTCGTTACTTAATGTTTTTCTTTCATGCGCTCAAAGACAGGTGAGCAGTTGCCAGCAAGGTGTCAAAGACAGAGGCGCACCAGACACTTGCCTGTTGTTTGTATTTAAAGAAAACTGAAAAGAGAATAAACTTCTCATCCCCAAAATCCTGCTCTCCCCAGTTCCATCCTAAGATCTCCTGAGGGTGAGAATGATCCTTTCACTCTGTTTGAGCCAGGCACCATCTTGGGGATTTCAAGCCTGAGGCTCAGAGAGGTTAAGTGACTTGCCCCAGGCCACACAGCCAGGAGATGCAGAGCAGGGTTTTGAACACGGAACCTGATACCACCAGGGAAAGGGACCCCATCTGATTCTGCTTTTGTGTCTAGCTGAGTGTGTGGCACGTAGCAGGTGCTGGCGCCCAGTAAAGATTAGTTGAAGGAATGAGTGAAGTGAATGAATGAATCAAAGTCTTCCAGTTCCCCTAGTGGAGAAGGTGGAGTCTACAGATAAGAGAGGTTCGAGGGGGCTTTTCCACCTTCAGCCTCCCCACTTACGGCTGTTTCTCCAGGGGCAGGTCCGGGTCCACGCGCTCCGCGGGCTGGGGGCTCCTGGGAGGGGGTCTCCGGAGCTCCTTGGCTGAGCCTGGGGTCCTTTCCCAGTCCGGACTGTCAAACTGCACTGGAGGGGGAGGGTTAACGAGGAAAGGGTTGAGTCTAGCCTACCTCCTGGGGGCGGGGCAGGGGCCAGCCAATGGCATTTCAGTAGGAAGGTGGGGCCAGTTTGGAGCAACCTATCAGAGCCCAGAAGAGGAGGGGCTAACTTGGGGCAGGATTAGCACCAGGAGCAACCAATTGCCCTTCAGAAGCCAGGGGTGTGTTCATTCATCAAACCTGGGGCGGCGTGGAAGGGGCGGGGCAGTGCCATGAGCAGCAAATCAGAGAGCAGGGGGTGTGGCTAGAGGGGTAGGTTAGAGGTTTCCAAGTAGGGGTCCCTTACTCCTGAATTCCCTTCTAGGGTCCCGCCCTTACTGAGGCAGTCATAGGGCTAGAAAATCACCCCTAATGGGATTTGGTGACAGGTGGACCAAGGCACTGAGCCCCAAGTCCCCTCCCAGTCATGCAAACTTCTGGGGCAGAGTCATGCTGGCACTACTTTTCCTGGTCTCAGTTATTTTACTTCTTAAAGTTGATCTTACCATGGCCCCTTTTACAGAAGAAGAAACTAAGGTTCAGAGACTTCCCCAAGCTCACCTGATTCAACTGGGAATTGACTTCAAGTGGATCCAAGTGACAGCTCTGAAAAATGCTGCCCTCCCCTCCCCAAAGCTCCTGTGTCATTGAGCCCTTTCTAGCACTCGCTTTCCAACCACCCTGGTCAGTAGGTGCTATCCTGATCCCCATTTTACAGAGAACGCAACTGAGACTCAAGGAGATAAAGTGTTTTGCCCAAGTGACACAAACCCGGGTCTGGTATGACACCAAAGCCATATTCTTCCCCCTGCACTACACTAAGCAAAATGAGGTTCCATTCCACTCTAAAAAGCACTTCCGTTTCCAAGGAAGAAACAAGGTCTCCTGGGTGGAAGAATTTGTGACTATCAGTCATTCACACTCCAGTGAGAATTAATTAGTAAAGTACCAAAGTGGCAGGTGATTGGATTCTACTTTGTAAGTTGAAGCAGGGGAGGTGACCAGATGAGGAGATGGAGGGACAGGGCGTTCAGGGTCAGACAAGCACCTGCAAATGCCCTGGAGATGTGGTCTTTCTTCCACTCCCAGGGCTGGTCATACTCCTCCGCTGGCCGTTCGTCCTCCTGCGGCAGCCGGCTCTGCTGAGGCTTCTGCCCGGAAGGGGGCCCGTCCCCTATCTCTTGGTCCTGCTCTTCATAAGGAGTATCGTACAGCTGCACCCCTCTGCATGGCAGTTCTGGGAGGCCGAGGACACCGGTCAGCTCCCACTCCCGCTTGGGACCCTGTCACCATCCCCCAAGCCCTGGCCACTCACCGCTCAAGACCCGCTGCGCGTCATAGGGTTCCATGTAGCCATCATCTGGGGACGGGCGATGAGGCTGGGCATCGAAGGGGTCTGAATACTCCGTGTCGACTTCCGCCTGGGAAGAGAAGTTGGGAGGACAAAGTGCTCAGAGGGACCAAGGTGATGTTACACCCCTCGCCTGTCCGCTCTGGGCCATCCGACACGTCTCCTCCAGGCAGTTGTATTTTTGGGGGAGAGGGAGTCCACTCTGCCACCCACAGCATTCCCAGAGAGATGCCAGCTCCCCCTGCTGTCTCCCTCCGTGCCACTCTGATTCTACCCAACACGGACACCTGCCTCCCTCCTTCAGCCACTTCAATGTTTATCGGACGCCAACACTGTTCTAAATGCTTTGCCTACATTTATTTGTGATACCGGCACTCCGTAGGTACATTATGATACCCGTTCTACAGATGAGGAAAACCAAGGCACGGAGAGGGTAAGTGATTCGCGCAGAGTCACAGAGCTAGGTTGTGAGAGGCAGAGTTTGATCCCCAGCTGACGGCTTCCCCTGAGTCCCTGCCCCCTCTTAGCTAATCACTACCCAGCACAGCCTCCTCTGGGACCCCTCCCCAAATCCTTCCGCCATGTCTCTGCCGAGGCTTTGGGGTCGACTCCCCAGTCCTCTAGGGAATGTCTTGACCAGCATCGGACCCAGGGCCGGGTTCAAATCTTAGTGAACTGAAGCCCTGTGACCTTGGGTGAGTCACAGCTCTTCTGTGAGCCTCAGTTTCCACCTCCGTGAAATGGGGATGACACCAGCAGGAAGGGCAGAGTCATGGTGCCCAGCAGGGGAGTGACTTCCTTGGATCTGTTTTAGGAAGATCCCAAGAGCCACCAAGAGCCAATGACGCTGAGGGGAGGGGCTGGCGGGTGGGGACGGCCAGAGACCAGGAAGACAGAGACAAAACAGGGCCCATCAGAGCGACAGGAGGACGACCAGGGCTATGCATGGAAAAGGGACAGATGTCAAACTCCACCAAGCTGAGGGGGGACTGGGAAGTGTCTGTGGGGTGCCCAGGCCTCCCCTGGGATCACACATGAAACCAGCTCCCCACGACCTGGGGAGCCCAGCCCGCCCTCCCCAGCCCCTCCAGGGGCCACCCAGCCACGCACCTCCTGCCCCGAGCTGCCCAGCAGGGCCTTGGCCCTGGCCATGTCCGCTGCCTCCACCTTGATGAGCCGGTGCTTCGGGGAGTCGTACTTGGCATCACCGCCGGGGCCCTTGCAGTCCCCAGGGCCCACGGGCTCCGGCTCCAAGCGGCTCTCGGCGTCCTCATAGGGGTCCTCGAAGTCCAGGTTCTTCTGCGCGCGGTAGGCTCTCAGGATGTCGCTGTCGCTGTAGTCCGGGGTGGGTGGCTGCGGGGGCGGCCTCCGTCCGCCAAAGCTCAGGTAGTCCCGTAGCCACTTGGCCATTTGGGCGTGTGTCACCCCGACTGGCCACGGTCACACGGGGACCCGCATGCCCTTTTCGGGGCGCCCTTCCCCAAGGAGGAAAAGGAGGGAGAGAGGAAGGAGAGGAGAGGAGGAGAGAGGTCAGGTGTGCTCAGGAGCCGGGTTCCGCATGGACAGGGGGGGAAAGAAGAGGTGGCAGACGGGCAGGAAAAGGAGGCGACAGAGGACGGAGGGGGAGGAAGGCCAGCTTAGCCCGGCGTAGGAAGGACCGCGGGGAAAGGGGGCGCCCCGCAGGGCCCTGAACGCCGAGCGCGGGGGCCGGGGCGAGGGGCATCCGCGGAAGCGCGCGGAGTTTCCGCGGGCAGAGCGGTGTTGGTGCGCGGCTCAGCCGCCCGCCGCCTCCGGGAAGCTCCGGCGTCCCTTTCGTGGGGCCCGAGGCCGGGGACGCCCCCAGCCCTCGCTCGGCCCGGACGCCTGGGTTCTCAGCGCAGCAGTGCGCGGGCTCCCCCGGGGCGCGGGCACCGCGCGCAAAGTTGGGCAGCGGGGACGGTGACCCCCGCAGCGCGCATCCTTTGTTGCGCTCCTCTGGGCTCGGGGGGAAGTCCCAGTCCCACGGCCCCCGGCCCGGCCGCCTCGATCCGGCCGCAGCCACCGGCACAAAGGGAAGTAAAAACCTCCTCCAATCCTTCTTTACGCTCTCGGAGAGAATTTACCCGCTGCCGCGGGTGCGCGGCCTGGATGGGGGACTTTGGGGAGGGGGCGCGCAGGCGGACGCCCCCGTCCCCACCAGCCCTGGGCAGCGTCCCGGGCGGCAGCGTCAAGGCTTCCCCGCCTCCCACTCCGCTGCGTCCTCCGCCACCTCCCCTCCCCTGCGCGCCCCTCCGAGGTGACTGAGACCTTCAGCTGTTCTGGGGAGGGAGGGGGTGGGGGCGGGAGTCGCCGGGCCGGGCCCGCCGGCAGCTGGAGACGGACCCGGAGGACCGAGACCTGCCGGAGCGAGCGAGGAGCGCGGGAGGTGGGACAGGGGACACTGCTCCGGGAACAGCGAGCCGGGCCAAGGAGGGGCGGGGGGGGAAGGGGAGGGGAAATTGGCCGGGAAATGGGGGGGCTGGACTTGACCGCGGGAAGGGGGCGAAATTAACCAGTAGAGGAGGTGACAGTGACCACTGTCGAGGGATGAAATTGAACCGGGGTCTCCAGGAGATGGGGAGGTGGAAATTGTTGGAGAGGTCAGCGGCTAAAATTGATATTGTCTCCGCGGAAAGGAGGGGGAGGCGGGAAAGGGAGGATGGGGACCTGGCTTCCCCTCCCCCTCTGTCCCCCTCCCCAGGGGACTAATTGCGCGGTGGGGGGAGGGGTTGGGGCAGCTGGCCGGGGGAAAGATGGTATCTGTGCCTGGCGCGTGGCCTCATCATCTGTCCCTTTGTGGCTTCTTGGGGGGGACAGGGGAAGGGGGGCAGAAGACAGAGGGTTCTCGCCTGTCCTGGCTGCCCCTTGGCAGCTGCCGTTGCTCCGGGGGGCGAGGACACTGAGAGGTTTGGGGGGTGAGAGAGAAAAAGGTGCCATTGGCCAATTCTAGAACAAAACCATTTTTTCCTTCCCCGTAAGCGGGGGCTTGCTCAGTTCCCCCTAGCCATCAGAGTGAGAGACGGGTGGTCAGGAAGGAAGAGACCCCAGGTTCCCTTCTCTGGGCTCCCCCAAGTTGGGCAGGGGGTCACAGCTTGAAGGGCAAGGAGTGGGGCCGGGCACAAAACTTTCCACTCTCTGTGCCTCGGTTTCCTCATTTGAAAACTGAGGTTTCTAATAGGAAGACCCACCTGGCCTCCTTCTTTTATGGATGGGGAAACCGAGGCACAGAGAAGGGACGAGCTTGCTGAGAGCCACTCAGTGGCTCATTTCTGCCTTGGCGCCATCACAGGGGCTCCTGGCTCAGGGTGGCACAGGAGTCTCTTCATGGAATCACCATTAGCCCATTTTCCAGATGGGGAAACTGAGGCCTGGAGCCAACAAGGCAAAGCCCCTGATGGCCACAGGGGCCTGCAGCCTTCTGTTCCCGCCCCTCTCCGACACTGGCTGTGTCCCCCAACACAGACCTGTTGAACTCCGTCCTCCCTCCCTCCTGAAGCGCGTTCACACGATCCACCCTCCCCTCATCCCCCACCCTCTCAGATCAGCGACAAGGCAGCGTCCCTGGGGACCGCCAGGGAGCACATCGGGTAATTGTCCTGTTTTCTGTCAGCCGCGAGGCAATTCCCAGCTCCAAGATGAGCTGTTGACAGATCTCATCAAATCCGAGTCCTTTCCCTGTCGGATAAATACTTGGTGTCTGAGGTATAAATATTTGAAAGGGACCTTCTAATTACAGACTGTGTCAGGAATAGCAATTAGAGGCCCCGAAGGCAGAATCAAACGGCGTTTGACTTTCCGGCGCTTTTGAGCCGGCTTCTCCGGGGGCTGTCCCCCACCAACCCCAACCCCAAGGATGTGAGCAGGGAGAGGGGGTGTGAAGCGGGGTAGGAGGAGGGGATGAGAAAATAGAGCCAGGCTGGGGGTCTAGCCACCTTGCTGGGTGACCTTGAGTTGGCCACATGACCATCCTCAATTTTGGCTTTCTGATCAGGAAGGGTGGGACCCCGATTCCCTTCGTGGGACTCCCCCAGGTTGACGGGGGTTATAGCTTGGAGGGGAGGGGGGACCAGACAGGAGTCAGGGCTCACGCCGCTGTGACCGTCCCCCCTGGCAGGACATCGGGCTGGGGGCAAAGTCGGCCAGAGGACAGGAGACGACAGAGAAGGATGATGCCCACAGCAGGGCGCTGTGTGGGTAAAGGCAGGGAGGCGGGGTGGTCTGGGGGGTCCTGCGCAGTGGGGACCCCCTCTCAGTGTTCATGGTCTGAGAAGCAGTTTATAGAGGGGGGTCGTCCAGGGTGGGTGGGACTCAGAGTACGGGGCTTTTCCAGAGGTTCCTTTGGTTCCGGAATGCCAGCCCACCTGACCTTGGCAATGACCTGAACTGCTTCTCACCTGGGAAGTGAGAGCATAACAGCTAAACCCTGTCGAGCGCTTAACGCCAGGCCCTGTTTGGGGGGCTTTTTTGTTTTGTTTTGCTTTGTTGAGATGTAACTCACATACCCTGCAATTTACGTTTTTATACTGTACAATTCAGCGGTTTCTAGCATGTCCACGAGGTTGTGCAACCATCACCGCTAATTCCAGAACATTTGCATCACCCCAAGAAGAAACCTCACCACCCAATCAGCAGTCACTGTCCATCTCCCCAACCCCCCAGCCCCTGGCACCCACTAGCCCGTCTCCGTGGATCTGCCCGTTCTGGGCATTTCATATAAATGGAGTCTCACAGTGTGTCCTTCTGTGTCTGGCGTCTCTCACTGAGCACGACGTCCTCAAGGTCCATCCACATTGTAGCCTGTGTCAGAGCCTCGTCCCTTTCCGTGGCTGAATAATAATATGTCACTGTGTGGCACACAGTAGGTGCTCGATATATGCTTAGGAGGGACCTCAGGAAGGAGCCAGATGGGTGGTTCCTGGCTGCGGACTGTACCTGCTCTCTCTGTCCCCTGGTCCGTCTCACAGAGCAGCTCCGCCAGATCCCTGGACGGGAGGAAGCAGGCGGGGCTAGACGTGGGCCCATGGGGGCCCCCAAACTCCTAACCTGATGGGGGAGATGTGGCCCTGCCTCAGGAGCTCCCAGTCTGATGGGGGAGACACACCTCTGCCTTTCTTAACTCAGTCTGATGGCAGAGACATGACCTTGCGCTCGGAAGCCCCAGGTCTGAGACCTCATGGCTCTGCCTCGAGGATTTCCGGTTTGACATGGAAGAGACATGGCCCTACCTTCAAGGGCCCCCAGTCTGATGGAGGAGCCATGGCCATGACTTGCAGGGTCCCAGTCCGATGGAGGAGACACGAACCTGCATTTAAATATCAAGAGCTGGGACACTGGGCGGGTCCCTCTCCTGCTTTGTGAAGCCCGGGCTCAGGCCACGGCCCCCCTCCCTAGGCCTCTGCCGAGCTCCGGCAGCCAGGCGGCCCCAGGGGAGCTGATGGAGGAGATTTCGGATGAGGCCTGACAGCTCCCGAAGACAGCATGACAGACACCGAGCTGGTGGGGAAAAGGTGCTGTCGGCTGCGATGGGGGAAGGACAAGCAGGTGCTGGGGATGGCGGGCCCAGAGGGTCAGCATGGATGACAGACCCCAATGTGTTGCTGTGCCTGTCCCTTTATTTATTCAGCTCTGGGAACCCCCACCAGGGAACCAGGGGGCCGAGAGCAAAACTCCTCCCAGGACACACGGGGAGAGAACAAAGCCTAAAAGCTTCCGAGGGAAAGTGAGAATTTAAAATAAAAATTCCAGCCAGGCGCGGCGGCTCACGCCTATAATCCCAGCACTTTGGGAGGCCGAGGCAGGAGGATCGAGGAGAGTTTTGAGGCCAGGAGTTCGAGACCAGCCTGGGTAACACAGCCAGACCCCGTCTCTACTGAAAAATAGAAAAATTAGCCAGGCTTGGTGGCTCGAGTGGGAGTGGGAACCGTGACTTCTAACCAGAGGAATATGCCACAGGGAATCGGTGTCACATCTACAGACCCTCCTCTCTTGCTGGCTTTAGGAAACAAACTGCTGTGGGTTCAATATGCCCCCCAAAATTCATGTGTTGAAATTCAACTGCCATTATGACAGCATTAAAATATGGGGCCTTTTGTTTTCTTATCCTTTGAGACAGGGTCTCACTCTGTTGCCCAGGCTGGAGTGCAGTGGTGTCATCATAGCTCACAGCAGCCTCCAACTCCTGGGCTCAAGCGATCCTCCTGCCTCAGCCTCCCGAATGGGACACCACCACACCTGGCTAATTTTTGTATTTTTTGTAGAGATGGGGTCTTGCTGTGTTGCCCAGGCTGGTCTCAAACTCCTGAGCTCAAGCGATCCTCCTGCCTCGGCCTCCCTGAGTGCTGGGACTACAACCATGAGCCACTGCCCCTGGCCAGTATATTCTTTCAATAGATTGTATGGATTTGCTGACCACCATAGTTGCAGTGGCTTGAACGGTGGCCCCAGTGTCCTAACGGTGTCCTAACAACCGGAACCTGTGACTGTGACCTTATTTGGAAAAAGGATCTTTGCAGATGCAATGACGTTAAGCATCTGGAGAGGAGGTCATGCTAGATTTAGGTGGGCCCTACACCCAGTGACAACTGTCCTTACAAGAGAGAAAAGACAGACACAGAGGACAAGTGAGGATGGGTGTGATGAGTCTACAAGCCCAGCAACGTCAAGGGTTGCGGGGAAACCCCCAGAAGTCAGGAGAGAGGCCTGGAACATTCTCCCTCTCAGCCTCAGAAGCACCCAGCCCTGCCGACGCCTTGGTCTTGGACTTCCAGCCTCCAGAACTGCACAAGGCGTTGCCATGGTTTCCACTGCCCCGGACGGCACCGCGACCCAGACACCACCCAAAATGGAAGGAACTGACCTTGTGTGCTGACCTCGTGTGGCGCGCCAGGAAGGACGCGACGTCACGCCTGCGGTGCTCCTGCCAACAGACGCGCAATGTCCGTGTGATCACGGGCGAAGGCCAGACAGACCCCAACTGACTCTACATGACGGCCGGCTGGGCTCTTCAGACGTGATAGTGTCACATGAGACACGGGAAGGTTGAGGGGCTAGCTTGGGCTCCGAGAGATGACAGAGGCGCCACATCGAACGTGACGCGTGCGCCAGGATTTTCTTAGCCTTAAAGAACACAGCTGCGCAAGCGGTGAAATCGGAGTGCGGGCGGCTGAGAGTTCCCTACGGCTGTCGTTACAACCACCCCTACCCGGGCGGCTCGGGACAACGGAAATGAATCTCTGCCTCCATCGTCACACGGGTGTCCTCACAGCCTCCTCCCTCCACGTGCGCCTGTGTCCACAGTGTCCCTGTTCGGAAGGACACCAGTCGCGCTGGGTCAGGGCCCACCCTAACGCCCTCGACGCGATCACCTCTGTGAGGACCCGGTCTCCAAATAAGGTCACACTCCGAGGTCCTGAGGTTAGGGTTTCAACGTATCTTTTTGGGGAACACACTTCAACCTGTTCCAGATGGAGATTAGACGACAGGGCCATACTCACGTTAAATTTCTTGATTTTAACGATTGCCCGTGGCTATATTAATTGGACAGCGTCCTGGCTTACAGGACACACACCGCGGTACTTAGGGGTACGTGAGCACCGGTGTTACGAACGGCTGCCCGTGTGTAGACGTGCATCTCACACACAGCACACACCCCGAGTGTCTACACGGAGAGGGACAAATAAAGGAAATGTGCGCGAAAGGTCCGTAGGAGAATTCTTTGAACCGGTCTTGGAACTTGTCGGTGAATCTGAAATGATGTTGAAACTAAAATAAAAACAGGTGTCAGAAGTGAGAGCGCAACCGCGTTCCTTTAGTGTCGGGAGCACGAGCTACACCGAGTTCCTTCCTCCCCTCCTCCCGCTCCCTGCGCCGCCCGGCCCAGGAGGGAGAACTTTCCAGCCGCAGATTTGCACTGAGGCAAAGCCGGTGACTCCCTCGCTGAGCGTGAACAGCCCAGCCCTGCCCTTCCACGGCAAATCTCGGCGTCCGGAACGCCTTGGAGCCTGCGCTTCCCGGTGTGTGCTCTCAGGAAGTAGCTGCTCATGTTCATAAGGAAGCGCCTGCAAGGAGGTTTGTCCCAACACTGCGCGGGGACCGAGCCAATGTCCCCAGCAGGGCAGGGCTGGCCTCAGCACGAACGAACGAGGGAACGGCCGCTGTGCTGCGCAGGCCCAGCCCCTGCGCCTGCTGCGTGCGGGAGGCGGGTATTAGTCTTTGCGGAATAGCACCCGAATCCTGCCGGCAGGGGCCCGCTCCGCACACACTGGCAGCGAGAAGGCGCCCAGCCCAGTTGGGGGGGGTTCCTTTTATTGGTTCTAGACAGTTCCATGGGGGGAAGGGATGGGGCAGCTGGGGGTGGGCGCACCCAGGTGCCTGAATCATGGCTGACATGTCCAGCACCACCCAGAGAGGACCAAGAAGTCACGCTGGAAGGAGAGAGGCGCTCCCGGGGTGCCGGGCCCTCAAGCCCGGGCCAGGTGGGGGAAGGCGCGGGGTCCCTGAGGTGTTGCAGGGCAGCTGTGGGCAGGAGGGGGCCGAGTCCTGGGCTGGAGCCCTCACAGCCTCACCGAGCTGGTGCTTATCCCTGTGGCTCTGGTCGGTCCAAAGCCTCCGGCTCGGCTGGACCTGTGACCCCTGACCTGGGGGTGGGCCCCGGTGGGCTCAGTTGCTGCCGTTGCTGCCGTTGCTGTCGTCACTGTCCAAGTACGCACCCAGCTGGCTCAGGGAGGAGGCGGCGGGTGGCGGGGGCGCAGGGTCAGCCGCCTTCCTGCTCTGCAGGGCACCTGGGGGGAGAGGCCAGAGTCAGTTCCGGGGCAGCGGAGGCGGGGCTGGCCACTCCTGCCAACGTGTGAGGCCCTAGGTGACAGCACAGGAACGGCCTGGCCCCTCTGGACGGCGTCCGACAGGACCCACTGCAGATCTGAAGCCGTGCGCCCTGTCACCGGGCAGCTGCACTTGACAACTGACCTGTGGGAACCCCCGGCGGGCAAAGCCTCAGAAAACAGTAACGACTCCAGGCCCAAAGTCGAGCCATGCGTATGCATACGGTGATTAATAAGGGCAGATTCTGGCCCACCATGCACCCCGGCTGTGTGGCTTCGGGCAAGTGGCCGTACCTCTCTGGGCCTTGGTCTCCTCGTCTGACACGTGGGGCAATAACAGTACCGGTAGCAACCGCATGCGTGTATCCGAGGCTCGCCACGCACCAGGGTCTGCTGCGAGCGCCCGGCACGGGGAGCCACGGAATGAACCAGAAACCCGGGCTCCGACCCCACCTGTGAGGTGGGTCCCGTCATTCCCTGCATCTTATGGGACAGGAAACCGAGGCAGGGTGGGGGTGGGAGGCCCCTCGACCAAGGCCACGGAACAAGCAGGTGGAGCCGCGGAGGACCTGGTGACAATGACCCCTCCCCAAGGGACTCGACACTTGGTTTCCACACTTCTGTGTGACTTGGGTTTTAAAAGCAAGCACTCGCGCCTTCTGTAATTAGAAGAAAAAAAGAACTGAGTGCCTTCGCCCCTGACGCCACTGGCTGGCCCTGGGGGGTCGTGTCGCCCCCGCATCCACGCCACGAAGGCTCCAGGATGGTGCTGGGGGCGCCGTGCTCGAGTCTGGGGACCTGGAAACCTACCTGGGGCCGGTGCCGCCTGGCCCTGCCCGGCGCTGCCATCCGAGTCTGCCCTCGGCTTCTTCACCACGACCAGGCCGGACAGCGGGGCCCTGCCGAGGCTGCCCACGCTCTGCTCCCAGCTCTCCACCCGCCTCTTGGCCTTCGGGGCCTGCGGGCAACAGGGGCACATGTGGGGGTGTCTGGCCTAGACCCAGCCCGCTCTAGCCACCCCGTCCCCGCTGAACCAGCTCCCAGGGGAACCTTTACCACCCCCCACCCCTCATTTGCTTGGTGAACTCCTATTCATCCCTCAATACCCAACTCGACACCCTCCCCCTCTGTGAACCTGTCCTCACAGCTCAAGCTGATAGCTGTGCCCGTCGCACCCTCTGCTGCCCGTGAACTGTGTCCCCAGCTGTGCTGTGCTCACTGCTGGCTCTGCAGTGCCGCAAACAATGCCTGGTACAGAGCAGGCACTCAATGAATGTGTTTGAGCAAATGAGTGACAGTTTGAGCACCTGTCCTGGGGAACAGTTAGGGGAGGCAGCCCCGCTTCCAGCTCCTGTCACACAGAGGGGACCCTTCAGTCTGTTTGTTTTTTAAGTAGAAGAATCCAGAGTCCCTGGGTGGAGGAGGCTGAGGCGGATGCCCTGCCGTCACCAGCCCACTGCGGGCAGGGACAGAGGACAGGAGACAACACCCATCTGCACGAGACAAGCCAGGCCACGTGACAGCAGGCGGGGAGGGGGCGGCCACTGCTGACGCGGTGTCGGGAAGGTCCCCTTACAGAGGAGGCTCCTGGTAGCGCGGCCACTGCGTCATCTCCCCACCTCCTTGCCACCCCTCGGTCCCCCTCGGGGCCTTTGCCTCACTGTCCCCTCCACCGGGAGCACCTTTCCTTGGATGTCCGCCTGTAAATTCCTCCCCCTCCACATTCTTTAGCCTTCCAGAACACCACTGTGAGGCCCGTGACAGGCTGAGTGCTAAGAGTTATATGGATTTGTTCCCGAACCTGTTTCTGTGTGTGGTGCTCGTCATCATTAAACTAAGCCAGGGAACAGGGTCAGGAGATATGTTCCTTCCTGTAAAAGTTAAGGTAAGGCCAGGCCTGTGGCTCTCGTCTGTAATCCCAGCACTCTAGGAAGTGGAGGTGGGAGGATGGCTTGAGACCAGGAGTTCAAGACCAGCTGGGGCAACATAGCAAGACCCCATCTCTATAAAAAATTCTTTAAAAAATCAGACAGGTGTGGTGGAAGATGCTGGCCACCCACCCGAACCCCTTCTTCCCTTCTGTCCAGTCAGAGGTGCAGCCAGGCCCAGGCCAGCTGGAGGACGCATCTCCTGCTTCCCTTGCAGCTAGACGTGGCCATGTGACTAAGCTCTGGCCAGTGGGATGCAAGAGGCATCAGGGTGGGGCTCGTCTGAGGCTGGGTGATCCCCACACCCTTCACCTTCTCATAGCCGGAACCTGAGGGTGCTCCGAGCCAGCTGTGACCACACAGCAGGAACTGAGGCTCCGGGATAACACTGGAGGCTGAATCCCTGAGAAACTCTATGGAGCAGAGCTGCCTGGAAGTCCCAGACTGTCCTGTTGGGACCACTATGTGACTGAGAAATAAGCTTTTATGTTCTTTATGTCCCCTTGTTTCTACACATAAACAGGGTGGGCAACACACAGACCCACAGGCCTGTCACCTGCCTTTGTAAATAAAGTTTTATTGGCACACAGCCAATAAACATTGATTTACACACGGTCGATGGCTGCTTGTGGGCTACACCGGCAGAGTGGAGCAGTTATGACTCAGACTGCCAGGCCTTTTAATAAAAGGTCAATCCGACCCTGGCTCCGCCTGTCCCCACATAGCCTGAGCGCCCTCGGTGACTCAGCAGCCCCGCTCACCTCGTCCAGGATGGCGGTGGGGTTGGGCCGCGGGGCCGGCCTGGGCGGGGCAGGAGCAGCATCGTCCTCCGAGTCCGAGTCCTCGAGCAGTCTCCTCTTTCTGGCCTCCTCCAGCAGGGCCCTGCGGGACGCACGTGGAGGCTGGGGACGTGCTCTGCGAGGCCTGGCGGGGCTCGCTGGCCGGGCTGCCCGCGGTGAGCAGGTGGGAGGGAGTGGGGGTCGCACGGATCACTTTTTTAAATTTACTTTTCTGTGTCTGCGGGGACGGTGGCGTGGTTAAGCGCCTGGACGCTGGACGGGTCTGAACCTTGGCTGGGTGACCTCGGTTGGGACAGCCTGGAACTGACAGGAGGGGCTGCTGGGCCCAAACTGCACAGGCCGGGCTGGGGGCCGCGTGACCAGCCCCAGGGTCTCTGTGGGCTTCCTACGTCATCATGACTCACGGGGGTGGAGCGCGTCCTGCGTGACTCCACGGGGAGAAGGTTCTGGAAGCTGGGCCTGGCTTCCCCGATGCACCCCACGCGCTCTTCCCCTTTGCTGACTCTGCCGTGTGCTTTTGCTGCAATGAACCACGGCCGCAAGGACAACCATGTGCTGAGTCGCTGTGGCTGGGGTGGCCTTGGGGACCCCACCATGACATGAGCTGGGCGGGTGGGGAAAAGGTCTCCCCAAGAAGGTGACACACAGGGGGGCCGTGGAAAGATCCAGAAGGGGGCGTTCCGGGCAGAGGCTGCTTGGCGGCCTTGACTCACTCGGTCTCGCGCTCGTCTTCCTCCTGCTCCTGCTTCTGCCGCTCCTCCTCGGACAGGCGGTGCTGCCGCAGCATGGCCTCGAAGTCCACGTGCGCCTGGCGCTGGTTCAGGTCCTTGAGCTCCTGCAGGTTCTCCAGCACCTCCATCTCCAGCTTCGAGTCCTTGGTCCGGTTCTCCAGCACCTGCCAGCGTGGCAGGGCGCGGCTGAGCACGCGGGCACCGCACCCCGCCCGGCCCGGGGGTCACGGCGGGGAGGACCCCATCCGGGCGTGTCATCCTGCTCAGGGACGTCCCGCCCGGTCCCCTCGCTGGGCCCGTCTCACGGGGCAGGGGAGGAGCCGCCCGGTCAGTGGTGGAGCCAGGATTCGAGCCCACGGTGGGTGGGGCAGGGTGGGAAGAGTGTGGCTGCAGACTCGGGGGGCCTGGACCACACCCAGCTCCATCGTTGAGTAAAAATAACAATGAAGGATTATAAAAGACAACCTGAGCGCCCACGGCAGGCCAGGCCCTGGGCGAAGACGTTCCCACACACAACTCATTTAGTCCCCACAGCAACGCCCATTTCACAGAAAAGGAAACTGAGGCCGGGAGCGGTGAGGCTGGCTACCCCAGGTCTCCGAGAGGTAGCTTTGGAGCAGGCGGAACTGGGTGTGAACCCCGCCCTGGTGGTGTGACTGTTGCGCTCACCCTTTGGAAGACGGCAATGCTGGTGGTTTTGTAATACGTCCCCAGACTCTCTGACGCTCCTCCCTTTAAAAGGTGGAGCCCGATCCCCTCCCTTTCAGTGTGGACTGGACGAGGCGACTCGCTAACAGAACAGGACAGAAGGAACGGCTCGTCCCTTTTGAGACTAGGACATAAAAGACACGGCAGCCTCCTCCTGGCTCTGTCTCTCGGGTCCTGTGCTGTGGGGGAAGCCGGCGGCCATGCTGTGAGGAGGCCCAAGCCGCACTGTGGAGACGCCCACGAGGCGAGGCACTGAGGCCACCTGCCCACAGCCACGTGAGGATCCAGCTCCTCCAGCCCCCACTGACAGCTTGACGGCAGCCTCCTAAGAGACCCCGATCTGGAACTATCCAGCTCAGCCAACCCTGGATTCCTGACTCTCAGAAACTGGGGGAGATGATAATGTTTATTGTTTGAAGTTGCTAAGTTTTGGGATAACTCGTTACATAGCAATAGCTGACACTCATACCAGGGTTGCAGCCCCTTGCTGTCAGCGTGGGGGTAAGTGGAGTCGCACACAGACAGTACTGGGGCAGCTCTGGGCACACAGCAAACCCTAGCTGAGGCCCACTTCCCTCCCCAATGCTCCGCCTGGCCGTTGGAAAAGTTGTATCAGCTCTGACGGGGCTTGCTCAGAAAACTCACGTGTGGCAGAGGTTGGGCAGGGTCCACAAATAGATGGGGAACGTGGAGTGGGAGGGGACAGGAAGGAACACAGTCATTTTGATATTTCTGAGAAAAACAACAAAACTGTCCAATGGAAGGTGGAAATGATTTCTTTTGAAGAATAACGAAAGCAGTGTCGACATCTATAGAGCACCGACTGTGCCAGGCCCTGCTCCTAGGGTTTTATGTGTATTGACTCATTGAATCGTCACCACAATCACAGGAGGGCACGGCCATCGAGTCCATTTCACAGATGAGGACGCTGAGGCCCGGCGAAGCCGGGTGGCCTACCGAGCTCACAGAGGCGGGAAATGCTAGAATTTTTCCTCCTACACAGCCCATCTTAATTCGCACTGGCCCCTGCGTCGTGGGACCCTGTCTTAGCCAACTGTGCGCCAGCGACTGCAGGAAGCACCTTCTGCTCCGAAGACCAGCTTCCTGCCTCCCTGTATGAGGTTTCTCCCACTGTGCAGAAATTTGCCACAAACCCAGAGGCTTAAAACATCGCAAATCCGTGGTCTCACGGCTTCAGTGGGTCAGGAGTCTGGCGTGGCATGACTGGGCTCTCTGGCGCGGTCTTGCCAGGCTGACATCAGCTCCCAGAGGCCACCCGCTGTTCCCTGCCACGTGACGCCCTCCACAATGTTGCTCCTTCAAATCTGGGGTTTCCTCTGTCTCTGGACCCACGTTAAAGGGCCCAGGCGATAGCTCAGGCCCATGTAGCCAATCTCTTTCACTAAGGTCAGTGATGGCGCCGTTACAATAACCTCATCGCGTGAGTGGGACCCTCCCAACTCAGTCCTGGGGATGGTGCCGGCTGCAGGCACCAGGAGGCAGGGCCTTGGGGGACGTCTTCGAGTTTTAGCAACCATGCTGCCCACGGCCAGCACTTGCACACGCGCACGCATGCGTGCACACACGCGCGCGCGCGCGCACACACACACACACACACACACACACATGGCACCCGGCTCACCTTCATGGGGTTGTTGAGCTCCTCGTCCTCCCTCTCCTTCTGCACCCTCTTCTCCTCCTCCTCCAGGAGCTTCTCAGCCTGGAAGTTCCGCGTGGCCCCGTGCTCCATGGTGTAGTCAGTGTTTTCCGGGTCTGTCTGCGAAGGAGGAGGGGAAGACGTCAGCTCCTATGTCCCTGAGCACCGGAAGTTTCTGCTGAAGCACTGCCAGCCACGAGGGGCCCCTTTTTTCTGTTTCTCACTCCTTCTACCTTTTCTTTCTTTTTTCTTGTCTTATTGCTTTGGCGGAAGTGGTCCTCCCTCCCCAGCGCTCCTGTCTCCTTCTGCAGAGAAGCCCAACTTCCCGGCGTGGACTTTGAGCCTCTTCCCCACCTGCCCACTGACTCCCTGCACCCTCCACTCAGCCTGTGTGCACTGAGAGTCCAGGCCTTTGCACACGTGATTTCTGCCCTTTTCCTGTGTGTGTGCTTAGGAACATCTTTTCTTTGATTATAAACTATGCACAAAAGTATGTATAAAGCATGGCCTACTTTTTTTTTTTTTTTAAGAGACAGGGTCTCGCTCTGTTAGCCAGGCTGGAGTGCAGTGGTATGATCAAAGCTCACTGCAGCCTCCAACTCCTGGGCTCAAGCGATCCTCCCACCTCGGCCTCCTAAAGCACTGAGATTACAGGCTTGAGCCACCATGACCAACCAATGCTATTTTTGTTATCTAAATGAAGAGGCTAAATATAACGTGATATCCTGGATTAGACCCTGGAACAGAAAAGCGACATTAGCAGAAACACTGGAATCTGCATCGAGTCTGGAGTTGTGCTAACAGAAACATCCTAGGATTGGCTTCTCATCGTGACGCAGGCCCTGCGGTTACGTACGATGCCAACATGAGGGGACGCTGGTGAAGGGTGGACGGGACCAGTCTGTACTGTCCTTGCAGCTTTTCTGTAAGTATTCCAAAATAAGAAGTTTATTGTTTAAAAAAAGAAAGTGAGGCCGGGTGCAGTGGCTCACGCCTATAATCCTAG